TTATTGAAGCAACTTGGAGAGGTAAACTATAAAAGGTTGAATTCAATGAAGGATGTCTTGGCTGTTGTGTTTTGGCTGTACTCAGGGACACATTTTCTGTTGCGTGTACCCAAATGCTTAGGCAATATACACTCCTGCAGAGCACTGGTACCAATATTTGGAAACCTTTTAAAAATGTTCTGTCCTATTCTAAAATAGGTCCCTACACAGGGCCTCAGCTTGCTACTGGTTATGAAATAATGGCAAGGCATGTGTTGGAGAAAGAGAGGAACTGAAGCTTTCAAAGGGATTAAAAGGGAACGTGAAATAAAGACATAAATTAATACCAGTTATATGAACCTGGTTATTCCTGAGTTAGCAGTTCATTCTTGTTAAGCAAAGCACTTCAGCACTTAAGACCCATTGATTTCAGTTGGAGGTAAGCATAGGTTACATATTTTCCTGAACAGGGATAGACTTAAGTTCTAACCTGAATTGTTGCAAAGTTCAAGGGAGTTTGTCTATAAATGTTTGGTGTGGGTCCATCTCTAGTTTCATAGGCATCTTGGAAAATTGCCAATAAAAGATGCTGACAGATGTTTTTCTCTCTTATTCTGCAGGATTCTTGTGTAATCTGCATCATATTCTAACGCAGTTTTTCTCCTCAAGACACTTCACAGTAAAAGATCATGGTAGACAGCTTAATAGTATCTTTGAGGTAAGTTGTATTGTAAAATACCCTTTTAAAAGTATTTAATATGCTCTTTCAGATTGCAGTAAGTATCAATTGATTATTTGTCTGTAGGCTTTAAAAGCTAGAGGCATATTCTCTATTTGGACCATTGGTGCCTTAATACAAAGTCATGTTCAAAGAGTTGATTGATGAAGTATGTAGATTCCTTTAAAGGGATGGGACAAGGACCTTGTTTCAAGTGGAGCATGAAGTGTGAAAGGTCTCAGTGTCTTGTTCAAGTTTAGTGGGCAGAACTTCTGTTAACCTTGCACTTGTATATTAGCAGGATTTCTTGCAAACTTCTTCATCTTTTTATTGAAGTTAATAGTTCCCTTTTGCAGTAAATGCTTTTTAAAAAATTTTGATCTTGCAAACCTAAATACATTAATACTTACATTGGAGTTAATTCAGAGAGCATAGTTGTGTGTTACTGAAAAGGTCCAGTGTGATGGACATCTTTTGAAAGTTCAGCTATTTCTGTATTTTAGAAAGCAAACTTTCTGAATGTGAAGGTGACTGCTAAGCGTAAGCTGTGCATTCATATCTCTTTAGGAATGACAGCTGTGTCTTGTGCATGAAATATTTTCTTTCATTTAGATGGAAGTAGAGTGGTAAAGATTCCAAACTCTCCATCTTCTGAATTTCAAATGTCAGGTATTTTATTGAAATCCCTAGATCCAAAGCTACACCTGTGGTTCCAGGTTGGATTCCACACTGGAATGGATGACAAAAAGGGGGTGGTTATGGCTACATTGCAAAAGATGTGATTGTAGCTCATGGAAATACACCTGAGTTTAGTGGGATACAGTTTTGGCCTCTGAGTACTCACTTGATGTCACTGACAGTCTTCTGCAGTCTGCACTAAAGCCCCTGCTGCTGAAGCTAAACTGTTATCAGCAAGCCAGCTAGCTAGCTAGTATATCATGTAAACTGCAACTGCACCTCTGGTTTGCAGGAAAATTGTATGGTCTACTGTGGCAAATCGCTCTGCTGTTTTTATTGGAGTGGTAGATGGATGTTCTGTTTGACAGTGTGATATATCGTGATGTATGATTTCACATCTTTTTCCTAATTTTGATGTAAATTGATTCTTTTTGGCTTTTTGCACATTAAGAGGACCTAAACAAACTTGCTGGAGCAGCAGGAACCTATTTTTGTAGGTTAGGGCTCAGTATTAGTCAAGCATGATTAAATAAAAAAAGATGTCAAATCCAAAAAAGTTAGCCAAAGCAAACTATCAAGTGAAATGACATTAAAAAAATGCCACACATTGACTGAAAACCAGAGGTTTACCTTAGGAATGAATAAGTAGTCCTGCCAGGTTTCTTACGTGTTTGAAATGATAGGTTGATAACAAATGTTTCTGGCAGGCCCAACTGTGTACATGAGCAAAAACTATAAACTACCCTCATTGTCTCGCATAGAGACAGAGATGCAGATAATAATGCAGCCTCTTTAGAGAATGGTCAGGAAAAGCTTGGCACAGAATAATCACACAAGCGCTAAGGATTTCAATTCTAAAGTGGGCATTTTTAATCTGGTAAGTAATTTGCTTTGAAGATTACAGCTCTCAGTCTCTCCAGATCTACACTTTTGCAGGAGTTTAATAGGATATATTCAAAGAAATGTGCAGCCCACTGTAGTGATGGGAAAACCTTTTCCTTTTACAGTTCTTGTAAGTGTTAATTTCTTTATGAAAATACAAAGCTTAATTTTGCAGCCTCTTAGGGAAGAAAGGGAGTAGATGCTATAAAGGGAGGGGGTGAGGACCCCCAGAAAGAAGCAAAGCAAGCATTTATCTAGAAAAAAATGAAAGAGTAAAAAAATTATTTTAGCTACAATTCAAGTTGAGGCTGCCAGGGGTTGTCTTTAATTTGTGTTATAGTTAATTACATGGAAATGTCATACTTTCAGTAAACCTTCATTGGAAATAGTGTGCTATTAAGGAACTCACAAAGACAATGGGAAAATATTAGTAGGTCCTGGATTACCAGACACATTTGGGGAGGCAGTATGGTTTAACAGCTGGGAGACTTGAGTTGTGCGTTCAGATCTTCATTTCAGCTGGTCTGTGATCTTTGGACAAATTAGTTTCCATCTTTGTACCAATTTTCCCTTTTCTCTCTGCCTTTAGGTTGCCCCTTTTCTTGCGATATGTTTAGGCAGTGCCTAGCACTGGCACTAACTCCAACTGGATCTTCTTTGCACTCATGAAAGCAAAGAACTATAACATGCATTGAATTTTTTTTGAAATCTTCTGATTTTTGAGAGAATGGCACTGCAAAACTCATTTAGTTACTTTTTTTTTTTTACCCTTTTCATGGCTTATTGCTTTATGCAAGAGGCACAGAACATGATGAGGTGGTAGGCACCATGTAATTAATGTTTATTATCCAGTGGACAGTTCTTTTCTCAGTATGTCAATGAACGCAAACACAAATGTTTTTCTTATGTAGGGAGCTTTTTCTCTTGTGTTTTCTGTTTGACTTGTACAAAAAAAACCCTGTTTCTGTCTAGTAGCCCCTTCTCCAAAAGATCACAATATACAGAGGGGAAAAAGGAGCTGGGTTTGGAAGGAAAGCTGAATTTTGTCTGGTCCATTAGTTTGCAGCAGGTTTTTGTGGGATTCTCTGTTTAATCGGATCCACCACTTTTTGCCTCTTCATTTGGGATTCAGAAACTGCTGGCTACTCATTCCTTCATGTGGAGGGCCACTAATTCTTACAATAGGCAAACTGGGCAAAAATTGTAGGTACAAGCGAATGTATCATGGAATAATAGAAAATTATGGTTGGAAGGGATGCAACAAGGAGCAACACATTTAAAGCTGTGTCTATGTCTGAATTGCCGAATCTTTCCAAATCAATTTGGAGGGTTCCGATTCAATTTGGAGAGATTAAAGGGTCTCCTGATTTGATTCAGATTTGGAGATTTGCCCACTGAATTGGGCCAAAACTCTGCCAAATTGAATTGGGGGCTGAAGCTTTGCACAGCCCTAGCAGTCAGGTTGGTCGTGCATGACTTGCCCTTGGTGAATCCATGCCAACTTTTCCTAATCACCTTCTTCTTCAAATATTTAGAAATGGATTCTTTGAGGACCTGCTTCATGATTTTTCTGGGGACTGAAGTGGGACTGACTGGTCTGTAGTTCCCTGGATCCTGCTTCTTCCCTGTCTTAAAAATGGGCACTATATTTGTCCTTCTCCAATTGTCTTGGACCTTCTCCTCATTATCATGAATTTTCAAAGATAATGGCCAGTGGCTCTGCAATCATGTTAGCCAACTCTCTAAGCACCCTTGGATGCATTTCATCTGGCCCCATGAACTTGTATATGTCCAGCTTTTCTTAATAGTCTGTAACCCAGGGGCAGGCAAAATACAGCTCATGAGCTGGTTCTGGCCCACGAACTGGTTGCCCCTGCAGTGCTCCACATGGGGCTGAGCCCCACCTGCTCCCACCTGGGCAGCCTGCATCTACACTTCCCCCAGCCCCAACCCCAGCCAGTGTGCAGCTTCTGGTGGAGATGTTCCCAGTGTGGCTGCAGCCAGCCAGATGTTCCTCTGCTCCCCTCACCTCCAGAAGGAGCAGCTGGGCTGAGGCTTCCCATCCCCCTCCCCCTGCCCAGAGCGGTGCAGCAGGGGGCAGGAGTGGGAGGAGGAATGGCCACTGGAAGCAAGGGGAGCACAGTAGCACTCAGCTGGCTGCAGCCGCACTGGGAACAGGCTCACTGGAAGCTGCGCATGCTGGCGAGGGCCAACAGGGCTGTCCTGCTCCCCTTGGCTCCAGCTGCAGCTCCTGCTTCTGCTGTGTCACTCCAGGTGGGCGGGTGGGGGGAAGCTTCAGTGGGAGGCTCCTGCACAGGGCATGGAGATCCAGCTCCAACTCGTGGCTGCCTTCCACCTGTGCTGCTCTACCGCAGGGGCTGCTCATGAAGTCGGGTGGATGAAGTGGGTGGAAGGTGGCTGGGAGCTGAAGCCAGAGCTTCATGCACTGGGCAGAAACCTCCCGCTGAAGCTTCCTGCCTGCCCACCCAAAGTAGCATGGCACGGCAGGGGCAGGGGGAGGGGCAATGGCAGGAGCGGCGGGCGAGAGGAAAGCAAACCACCCCCGCCGGTCCTGACCAGTATGCAGCCCGGTCCGGCCTGGCACAACGCAGTTCTGGCTACAAGGCTGGGGACTATGGCGTGGCACAGGGTCAGCCTGGCCTGGCCTGTCTCCTCCATGTTGAAATTATAAGACAAGGGGTTTTCCCCACATGCCAGTTGGAGGGAAAGAAACATGTCTTGTATTCAAGTAAGTATTGTTTTACCATTCAAGCAAAAATGTGTTTAAGTGTGTATTAATAAATTGCACCTTGTATATCCTGGGAGGGTGCAGTTATTTGGCCAGCTCAAACTATCCTTTCTTTGCTATGCTCTAAGTTATTGAGTAGTTTTGCAAGTATGAATCTACCCACATGTGTATTATACAAACACTTGCCACATAGTTAAAGCAGTATTATTAAATAAGGGTTTTTCATAACATAATGAAACTTCTCACATTGGTAATGCCATACAAGTACATTAGCTTGTACAGGATCATTGCCTGTGACAGATTGCTAGGATACATGGTCTGATTCATTGATACCTGCAATATTTAATATTCAATATTTTTTTTTCCAGAATTCTCAGTTCTCTAGCAGTGTTAGGATTTCAGCTTGTCATCCCACAGGGCTCAATTGAACACAGAAAGGTAAGCTACAGAAATTCAAATTTTGTATAATTAAGATATAAAATAAGTTAGAACAAGTAATAGATACAATATTGTCACTTCCACGGTCAGGCTTTAATGAGAAAGATGAGGCCTTTCTTATAGGGTTGGAATTCTCTACTGCCAGATCCAGTTTTGGCTCCGAGTTCCTGGTCAGGACAGAGTGACTAGTGCCATTCAATAGCAACCTTTATGAGGTGGTATTGGATACACTTTGCAGGGATTGATATTCACTCTACATACTCAAAGAAGTGGCCTCTGAAAGTGGCTTAAAGTGAGGAACGTCTCTACTACAGCAATCTATTCTGTTCCCTGGGAGAGTTAATTCACTGGGAACATTTCTAACTTCAGTTGGCTTTAGTAGCAATAATTTACTAGTTTACTGGAATTCAAATTTTAATTTTTGTTTTACCATTGTAAGAAACTAATTGTGCAGATTTGATCACTTTCTGGGACTATGAATTTAGTTGCTCTGTGCAACTATTAGTTAATGGTTTTGTTACTCATTAAATTATATCAAATTTAGATGAAACACAAAGGGGAGAGCCCATTGTGACTCTGGGAAAACTGGGTATGTTGGAGTTGGGCCCTTATTCTTTATGGTATCCTAGAGGTGGTAAAACTAACTTTTAAATAATTCCATCTGTGAATTACTGAAAAGCTTTATAGTAGAAGAACAGCAGAAACATTGAACCTAGAATACAAGGTAGTGATAAGATATTGATTTACTTAGTTAAAACAGACTTGCCATGGTTAAATGCTTATAAATTGGAGGAATGATTTGGTGCAAATGACAAGGGAATAATTAACATTGTATTTGCAGCTAGTTTTATTGTTAAAAATGAGTAGAGAATATTTTCGTGAATGACCATAAAAACCAACCTATTCAGGCTACTTACTCAGGCTAAGGCGGAGTAAAATGATAAGCCTTGGAGCATGCCTTAGAGGTCAATACACTTCACCTTCTGTAAGACAAATGTGGCAGAGAATTCCTGAGCCCATGACTGCCCACCAAAAGTGTTGTCTCCATGTCTCTAAACCAATGTTTGAATCTGGGGTTGATTAGTAGGAGTGTCTTGCTGATCTCAGCTGCCAGGTTATTGCACAAGGATGGAAATATGAGAGATGGACAGATTGGATCCCAACCATGCATAGCTTTATAGATCCAAATCAGCACCTTGAATTGTACTAAGAACCAATTTGGTAGCTTTTTAAAATCTTTTCTTGGTATCAGACACGGTCTTATCACGTGTTATCCAAGTACATTATAACTGTTAAATATACCAAGTAGCCTAATCCTCACAAATTAAACATTTCCTATAGAGAGTACATACATCTTTTAAATAAATGTTAGCTTTGTGTAAAAAATTAAAATTAAGTTGTATAAAATTTTGAGGGGGAGGGTGGTGTTATTTTATTTTCCCTGAAGGCAATGAGATTCATGGCAAGTTTGCTATACGAAGGAGGGAAGTTCGAAAGCTGTGGGTTAGCCATCTCAGTGAATCTGATTTCAGCTTTCATGATATGTTGCTGAAAAATCCATTACTCTTGAAGAACACAGCTGTCACGTTCAACTCCTTGGGGGATCCTGTGGAATCTAGGTGTAATACAAGTTCAGTGAAGTCCAGACTGCAACTTTTTGGCCTGGGACAACTACCTAATAGTTTGATCCAAAGAACAAGCACCATGCAGCATGTTGCTTATTAAATGACTTTATTGCTGTGTGCCTTTTGTTTGAATATCGTATGATTGAGACAGGCATGGCAGTGGCTGGTGCTGATCTGTTTTCAGCTGCCTGCTGCTACTTAGCCTTTCTGTTTTGTTATGCTGCCAGTAGCATAATTAAGCTTCTAAATGGACTTAAAAAAAGCTATTAAGTAAAATAGGGTAACTGAAAGAAACAGCTGTGTCATTCTAGTAAGTTCCCAAACTGAGCGTAATAACATCAAATTAATTCTGGGTTAGTTGAATAAGAAATGCAGTAAGTCTGGGCCTTCATATGTATTAGTTTAAAAAGGCTAAAAGTCTGGCATTAAGGGACATTTTTTTCAGTTCCTAGGAAACACCATTGGTGACCACTTTGAAACTGTTCATTCTATTGTAGACAAGAGAGATGGAGACTTCCCCAGTGAAGGTTCCACACAGATTCAAAGTCTATCTGTCACTACTCCCAGTCCTGACATGGGACGGTTTCTATTTATGTCAAAGTTAGCTTACACCAGAGGTACATACTCATTAAACTTCCCCAAATCTCTGACTTACGAGTCAACCGCTAGACAAAAAAAGCTGCTGTTAGCTCCTAACACTAAGATAGACATCTTTCTAATTGAGTGTCAGCCCTTGGCTTTGTAACTCAGGGAAGAGGTCCTGTTTTGTTTGTACTGAGACTCGGGCGCATGTTTGCTGTGGCAGTAACTTTTCTCCTGTTAGTGGCTCCTCTGTGTTTTTGTACTAACCCCGTTTTACTGAGTTTGGAAAGAACTGTAGATCAGCAGGGAGGAAGTTCAGTCCTTGGTGGGTGAGCAAGGCTTCCTGCTTTGAAACAGTAGCTCAATTTAATTGGAATGAACAATACTACTTAACATTGTTTGGTATCTTTCATAGATCCTTATGTAAGGCTCTGCAAAACTAAAAATAACAGTCAGTGCATTCTATGGAAAAAGAGTGATCTGAGCCAATCTCCATGAATAACGAGTATTTAGATGCGGCCCTTACTCGTATGTTTATCTTAGAGGTTTAATTTGAGCATGTATACAAGTCTTTGCATTACTTTTGTTGTAGCATGTGGTTCTGGAAAATACTCTGATTCTTCTCTCTGCACCTTGCAGAGTTGGCTTATTTATTTATTTATTTATTTTTTTAATTGTGAAAGCTACAGACAGGAAATACAGTTGTGTTACTGGCCTTGAATTGTTGGCTGAATGTTCCACTAAAATATTTCTAAACAGTACAATTATTTTCTTATTTGGAGGTGTTTTTGGAAACAATTGGTGGGAAAGACTTGTAATGTCTTTAGACACCCAAAGCAGAAATGAGACCATGTTTCTTAAATTTAGGAAAAAGGACTTTTTTTGTTGATGGGTTGTCCGCCTCCCCTTCTTCCCCCCACCCCTCCCATTTAAAAGGGTCTTATTAATGATTTCTGTTCTTTGTTTCCTCTTTTAAAAAAGTGTATAAAGGTTATCAGGGGTAGAAATGCCTTTGCCTTCAAGGCATCCTGGAATAGGTTACTGTTTTAAGATCATATCTTACATCAGCTTGTTTGGAAGTTGCTTTTAAACAAAAGTCCACTTATTTTTCTGATGTTAGGTTTTTACTTAGTTTGAGATACTGACTTGGGTTTAATTCTAATAGGATATGACCCATTGGCTGTGTTTTGCATTTTGTGTTTAGGACTTTCAGTGTCAGTGAAGAAATGTAGGCTTTCTTTATCCCAACATATTGGAAGAAATATTTTAGGAGGAAAAGAAAACTTGCCTTTAGCAATTTCTGCAAGAGCTGAGTTCAGTGGATTCCTTTCCTCAAAAATGTAGAAATAAATTGATTTCTGGCACGACAACCTAAGTTTAGTTAGATAGGAAAATTAGCCAAATGGCTTACACAGTGGAGAAATGCAAATGGAAAAAGACTGTGGAGATGACAGCACCAGTTGGGAGAGTTTATTTTTCTTGTTTGCTGTTTCTTTTTCAGCACATTTGCTGCTTTCTGGAGCAATTGAAATTCAACATGACCTTTTCCCAACTTAGTTCCTTCTTTTTGCATTGAAAATCATAGGGTTTTACTTCTACAGAAATATGTTGTACAGTTATTATTCGGATAATACTTGGTGAGAAATGCTTTGTTTTTTTGCTGGGTAATATATTTAATTTTGGAATTGATAATATGGAAATGGAAGTGTTTGATACTCAAGCTTGTCAATTGCAGAGAACAATGGGACTGTACCAAAATGTCTAGCATCAGAAAAACTATTAAATACTGAACATTACATAGTTTTTTCCTATGGACATTTTAATCTGACAAGTATCATTGAACTTATGGGCACAAGTCAGAAAATGAAGAATATCTTTGTGTGGTTCCTGAGAACAATAACAGCAGAGCTATTTGCAATGTTCTGTACCTGTAATGCAGAACTACCAAAAAACCCGTTTTGCATTTTGATTTCATTTTGGAGATGCTGTGCTTTTGAAAAGCAGTTTCATTTGGTGGCCTTCAGTGTACAGGCAGTCCTTGACTTACAACGTTTATGAATTGACACCCTGTTTCAACTTTCTGACGTCAGTTTCCACTTTACAACGCTTGATCTGATGTGACACTGCACCAGTGAACACGTTTGCTGCATCGCCCATCTCCCTGGAGAGCATCTGTTCAAACTTCCTTGGATGCTTTCTATAAGAAAGCAGACAAGACTCCAGAAAAACCTGCAGCGAAGACTCCTGAGACACATCCAAGAACCCTTCAGAAAGTCCAGCAGAGTCACCTCAAAGAAGTCCTTCCAAATCAATATGATTGCTATTTACAATATAAATACACTAATGTAGCTATATTACTAATCTGTAATTGATTGAGTACAAAATTCTGGGGTATTTTTGGTGAGAATAGGGTATCGAGCCTTGGTTCCGGAACCAATCCCCCATTTATAACATTGTTTCCTATGGGAAAATCGGTTCCGAGTTGCAACGTTTTGACTTAAGATGCAGTTTTCAGGAACCAATTGGGTCGTAAGTCCGAGGACCGCCTGTATTCATTTCTTATTTTTATGACGCATAATCTCTATGTATAGTGTCATCATGAAGTTAGGCTAACTTCTAATGCTGGTAAACAAAGATGAGTTGTGGTTCGATAACAGAATATTTAATTGTCTTTCATGCTACTTGTACTCAGGAAAGATCAAATAAGTTCTCAATGTCTTGTCTGAAGTCTATCCCTAATATTGTTTTCAGTCTTGAAGGTTTGAGTGACCCCCTCACTGCACATCTTATTGC